TGCTGACATGAATCTGACCTTTCCTGGAGTCAGTTCAGGGAGCTACACATGGCAAAATACTAGCACAGTAAAAAAGGAAGGTCCTCATGTCAGTTTAGCTCTGTGACCCAGGCCACTGTGGTGTCAGACAAGCATTAGCACTGGCATAAGGGAGGGACCACGAAGGAGGCAACACGAGCTTAGTCTGACTTAAATGCCAAGGAACTACACCCTCTCTCAGACTAATGGCAGCTGGGAAAACCAGAGGGCAGACAGGTCAGACTGCTGGGAAAACTGGACTCGTGTGTACTTGGAGAGTGACATCTACTGATCTTCATCGGTCAAGGGCTGCCCTGGCCATTCAGTTCCTTTGGCTTTAATCACTGCAACCTGTGAGAGCCAAGGACAGAAAATGTAGAGTGGTAGATCTGTAGATTGGTCTCTAATGCAGACATGCAGGGAGCCCAAAGCAACATCAAATAGAGGAAAAGGGAAGTTTGAGAAAATAATGCACAAACTCCTTCCTTTCTGCCCTTTAAACATGCAGAAAGTTAAGAGCGAGCTGTCGTAGTCAGGCATGGCCACTCATCTGCTCTATCCTGCCAAGACTCCTTTCTTTATAAAACTATTGGGGAAAAAAAACCAAACCAGGAAAAATATTCTCAGAAAAAAGCAGTTTGTCAGCCTTATTTTGTATAAATCTGTACCTGTAAAATCCCAACCACAAATGTCAGACTGCCCTGTAAGAAGGAACCACCAACGAAGACCCCAAAGGAAAAGCAGGCCCCCACGTGGCCATCTATCAGTTCACCTACAAACCATGGTCCTGAAAGAGAGGAGAGCAAACGCAGAGCACCATCAGAACACCCAGTACACGCACGGCCTTCTCCACACGGCGCTTTGTATTCCTGAGCACCAAGTGGTCAGCTGGGGAAAATGACTTCCCTATTGCTTGTCTGCAGTAATAAGCCTGATGTTTTCACCTACAGCAAACAGCAATCTGATAAACATCCCCAGTGAGTACACCAATGAGTTGGGGCATGCAGTGAAAATACTTTTAAGTTGGTTTCATCTCTGTGACCATTTTCAACACCACAGACAACATTTTCCTTATGAGAGAAGCGAAAAGATGGGTCCTATCAACCACCAGCCTTTTCCCAGAATTACAGTAAGTCATAAACAATTCCAGCTTGGCTTAGCTCAGAAGTCAGAATGGACAGGCTGTGCTGGTATGCACACTATGGTGACAGCCAAAAAAGTAGCTATTTTAGTAACATATAATCAGAGGAGAAATGAGCTAAGATTGCTCGCATGGGAGCCCAGATGTCTTAAGTGAGATGTCACGTGAAATGTACATTCCACATACTTATTCTACATCCAGGTACAACCAGATCTTACTCTAAGAGTATGTGAAAACCCAATTAAATTTAAAAATGCTCAAATTATTAAATTACCCTGAAAGCAAAGTGAGTTTTTAATTCCAGGGCTCTAAGTTAGGCTCGTCAAACAAACCTTTGGTCTCTTTGGTCATTAACTTTTCAAGTTCCACATAGATTTTTTAAGTTATGTTGTGTTTTTCCTATTCTCCATGATGTTGGAAGTCTCATTATTCATCAGTATCTGATGTGTAATTTAAAAATATTAATTTATATCCTCCCATACTCTAGGTTACTTACCCAGAATGGTGTATAAATTCAGAACCAGAATTGAGTAATAGAAGGTGTTCATTTTACTGAAGACATGAAGGGAATACGAGGTCAGAGTAAGTAACCCTGGCTTTTCTAAAGAGAGACAACATTTAAGAAAACACACTTGAATCAGGTTGCAACACACACGCACATATAAAAATATACGTATTTGTGAAACAAATCTGCACATTATTTACTCATTCTATTAAATAAATGTAAAAGTAATATTTGGCATGTCTAGAGAACAGATGTAAAGGAATGCATTTCTACTATTACTGTGATAACTGAAAGCAAGGAACTGATAAATATAACAGTCTATGTTTAAAACAGCAGAAGCAGCTGCCATTCTAAATGAGTACACTTACTGTATGTAAATAAAACTGAACGACCATTCTATACCCAGAAAATGAAGTTAGCTAGAATGAAAAACATGGAGAAAGTTAAATGGAAAGTGAGAGAATTAAAACAGTAGCTGTGCAAAACCCAAAAAGGCAGCTCGGCATGAACTAGATTAACTGGATTTTCTTTGATTAAATCTACTTAGTGAGCTCTGATAGCAACTCAGATAAAATGAAGGCTAGGTGTTAAAATGGCAGCATTCTGACAAGTGTGTGGTACAAGCTAAAAAGCCCCCAAGCCAAAAGCAATATTAATTTTCCAACTGAAGAAGACCATAGACCGAGATCAAGAGAGGCTTCCTGTAAAAGTTAGCTTTTAGAGTTTCACCTACTAATGTGCCTGCCCTTCTCACAAAGCATTAACTCCCAGAGGGCAAGCCTGACCTTTGGAAATCAACAGCTCTAACAAAGTTGTTCGCTAACGTGTAAAACATTTGTCATGGTCTACAGGGACCAGGCTGATCACAGACTGCCAGCTCTTTTCATTTTTAGCTGCTGAATTCCATAAAGGCAACTGCAGTTCTATTCTTCTTTTATGTAAGCAGCTGCTGTAGTTACCTCAGGATGCTATGTGATTGTGAGTATAAAGGAAGGGACATACACTGACATGAATAGGAAGGGAGGTGGTTTCCAGGAAAATCTCATTAGTAAGGTGTGGTTCAAACAGCTGTTTAAAGGATAAACACCACAAGTTTAACAGTATTAATTTTCATTTACCAGATTTATCACAAAATGAGTATCAAGTTATGACAGAACTGGTCTTAATATTATTCTGGGAAAGACCCCAAGCCTGTTCATGTTCCTTGCAAAGATTAACAAGATGAAAATCTGCTTCTCCACTCAGGTGAAACTGAATTCTGTGTCAGCTGCAGTGAAACAGAACTAATATAAAATATAACATTCCTATCCCTTTGCATTGGATTCTTCAGTGAGAAAATAAAAATGAAACATTTTGACTTCAATTAATTTTATTTCTGTTTAAACAAAAATATCTGATCAAGTTTTTAGTTTTTAAGTTACACTATTTGATATATTGGAGGTTTTCTGCGTCCTCTTAAAAGTGAGACAGCAGCTTCTGAGAACCCAATCAAAATACTAGATGCAAAATGCATATGGGGATTCACAGTGCAATTACTTAGGCTTTGGGAATAGTAGATCCCCTAAAAACCACAGACAAACACTGGTTCATACCTTTGAGTGCTGGCTTTTGGAGATACCGGAAAATAACAAGCAAGGCGATCTGAATCAGCACTATCAGTCCAAAGAGCACACGAGCCTGCAATGACAGGTTTGGGTCTAAGCAAGCCCTGGAGCAGTAGCTGCCTTTGAGCACTGACAGAATGATACAAAGATTTCTAACCGAAACACATATTCAAAGCTTGATGGTGTCATTGAACTAAAAAGTAAAAAGAGGTTTGTAAGTTACTGGACTTGCATCTTAGTGACTTGAGTTCAGCTGGGTGGCTGAAAGTGATAGACCCAAATCTTTAAAAAATAGGGTTTGTAAAACACGTCCATTGAAACAGTGTAAATACTCTTCCTACACAAAACATGTTCTTAGTGCTGAACTGCACAGAACTGCAGTACAAGACGTTGCAGAGAAGATCAGTTACTGATTAATGAAACTAACATAATAATTTTGAGCCAATTATGATACTATCTACAGTCATGTGGACTTTCCTACATTGTTCTGTAAGCACACCTGAACTATTATGACATAACTTCTTTGCACGTACTAACCTGTAACACTTCTGGATATGACCTGGAATTTACAGCAGTCAATGGGAATTTTGCCTTCCTCTTTGCTACAGCTGCCTATAATGTCAGAAGCTGATGGGAGACTTTTCAGCATTCTTGCCAGTACACATATTGCAACAGATCACAGTGAAGGTTTCTTTAATGTTTCCCTTTTCTGCTATCTCCAGGAGATTCCTTTCCTCCTCTTGCTTGCACAAAATGTGCATATACCTATGCCCCAAAATGGACAATTGTGATTAAATCCAATGGAGTCAACTATTTTCATGTTTGAAGCGTGCAACTTGAGAAAGGAAACTTGAAATATTTGTGAAATTCCAAGGGAGTCGTATCTGGAAAAAGCAAAGTGCATTCAAGTCTATCAGGAATTAGGAAAACACTCCTGCAGTCTCTGGGGAAACCAACCCGGAATGAAAGTTGTTTTGCTGAAAGCACTTACTAGAACATAGTGGTCGGTGAGGAGGATAACAGATGGCCAAAAGTCAAATCTAAGAGAGAGGGTTTCTTCCATAGCAAACGTATGACTCCGGGTGCTAATTCTACCTGAAGCATCCTAGAGTGAAAGAAGAGAGCAATTAGACTATTAGGGCACAAATTATCTGGTTAAAGTTGCTAATTATCATTGCAGCTTTTCTGGGAAGATCCAGTTGACGCATGCATGGCTGGCATACTGCTATGTTAATACTTCTACCTACAAAGAATTACTTACTGTCAGTTTTGTAGTTCCAGGTAAATCATTGACTATAGGATCATAACCTCAAAGTGCTATATATGAAGGAGCACCTCTCAGTGATTCAGCAATTTGTGGAAGACAGTGACTATTTATTGGCACCACCACCACTGTTTTTCTGAAAGCTCAATTAGCCCATCTTAAAATATTTTGAAGCTTGTGTGCTGCTTTTCTGGCATATTTGCTAGAAACTGATATTGATACACAACAACAGTGCTACCTTTAGTCAACACTTTGGTATTTCTGCAGGTGTAACAGACACCTGTGGTGGCTCGACCCTGGTTGGATGCCACGTGCCCACCAAAGCTGAGCACTCACATCCTCAGCTGGACAGGGGAGAGAAAATATCATAAAAGGCTTGTGGGTCGAGATAAGGACAGGGAGAGATCACTCACCAATTACCATCACAGGCAAAGCAGACTCAGCTTGGGGAAATTAGTTTATTACCCATCCTATCAGAGTAGGATAATGAGAAATGAAAACAAATCTTAAAGACACCTTCCCCATACTTCTCCTTTCTTCCCAGGCTTAACTTTACTCCCAGATTCTCTACCTCCTCCCCACCCAGCAGCACTGCTGTTGTGCAGTAACTTTCCCCCTTCTTAAATGTGTTGTCACAGAGGCACTGCCAGCATTGCTGATGGCTTTGGCCAGCGGTGAGTCCATCTTGGACCTGGCTGGCATTGGCTCTATCGGACATAGAGGAAGCTTCTAGCAGCTTCTCACAGAAGCCACTGCTGTAGCCCCCCTGCTACCAAAACCTTCCTATGCAAACCAATGCGATGCCTTAACTTCCAGTACAAAATAAAAGGTTTATTTATAGCAGAGGATTCAGTGTTTTTAGTGTGATTGCAGCTGAGACAATATTTGGACAATCCAAGAAACAACGTACAATTAAGTAGTCATATTCTCTCTAGGTACCTAACTCAAGTTAATGCCTTATCCTCCCCTGTTCCAAAAACTATTTGGTTGCTAAATGTAATAGTGATTTATGAGTGGAGGGGAAATGAAATTCACTGGTTTTAAATCCCATTCAGTTACCTGACAACAAGCATGTATTTGCAAGCCAACTGTTGCTCTGCAGGCCTGTATAACCCTCTTCAAATGTTACTTAGTTTTGTGCATGTGTTTTCATCATCATTAAAAAACCCAAAAAGACCCCAGAAAATAAACCACTTATAAAATGTAGCTTTTTCAGGTAAAGCATCACAGAAATCAGTAACAAGCTGGGAGGTGGAACACTGACAGTACAGAAAGGCCATTAGGAAAAAAACACTTGCTCTTGTCCTGTGAGAAGTAATGCCCAGCTGGGGTCCACCAAGCAGGACAAAGCTGACTTTCCCATTGCTGTTGTACAAATGGACAGAATGTTAGAACAGTCTGACCAAGTTCTTTAAGATCACTTGAAGGTGAAAAATAAAATACAGTACCAAGAACAGAAGCATTCACTGAGAAAACCTATTTTGCACCCAGTAATCTAGTTATCAGCTAAGCCTGACATTCTATGAAACAGAAACCATATTGACTGTCAGCCTGTAAGAAGTAATGAAAAGAACTTCGAACAGGTAATCAAAGACAGCATTCCAGTCTTACAGATCCAGCTCCTTTGCCTTCTGAACTAACATGAGGCTACTTCTTATTTTCCTTGGCCAAGCTCAATTACTTCTTTTTCTAAGGCAACCTTAAAAGTTAATTTCACCTCTTACTTAAATACTTTATTTTTGACCAATTACTTGCTCTTCTATCATGTCTTATTATATTTCTGATGAAAAATAAGAATCCTTTCTTTCATCCAGATGCTTTATGGATGTTTTTGTGCTCAGCAGTAAGTGTTTTTTCATCTAATAAATCCTTTTGCATTTGTAATCAGACAAATCTGAAAGGAAGTCTGTTTCATGTATTTTGTCCCTAGTTATGTGATGCAGAAGGGTGATGGAGCAGACACAACAACATAAAAGTTCGATACAAAGAATGCCAACAGCTTACCTGGACAGTCACATCTATGTGATGGAACCCTTCGCTGTAGTTCTGCGGGCTCCACTTCAGTACATAGAGAGGCCCAGATACCTGATGTGCGTTCCCCAGGTAAGCACCATCTATATAGACTTCGACAGAGGTGATGACAGAAGGAGAGAAGGCCAGGATTCTAAGGGGTGAATAAACACCAAAATAAACAGATTTGTTACAGGACTTACAGATTTGTCCCTTACTTCCTGAAAAGAAGTCCCTACAGTTTTAAACTCTCCAGAGTTCAAAAGAGTTAGAAATTAAACTGATAAAATATCTGTAAGGCTAATGGTGACATGGTACCTCTTTCCTACAGTTAAAAAGAGAAGTTTTGTATGGTCTTGTGCAAAAGAATAGCATAGAAAACTGGGCCGTGGAACAGACAAAAAGTGGCACACATCTTCAGGTCCTGGCAGAAATGATCTTAGAACTCTTGCCACCATTAAAACATTTGCTATCACAAATCCTCCTGCATACATACAGACACATAATCAAATAATGTAGATGTCTTCATTAAAAATTGCCAGTCTCTCCCTCTAAAGGCCTTTGTTGTTGGGTGTATTTGTTCCCCTCCCTTTTTTATTTCTTTTCCTTTTTGCTAGTCAGACTATAACCTCTCAGTCTTTGTAATTGAATTGATGAGAAATGGAGTGGAACACAAGACAGGCAATAGAGATTTGAGATACCAACAAATGGATATCACTTGGAAGTGCTTATATTCAGAGAAACAGTGATACTAATAGAGACTCAATATATTGCATGTACAATTTCTTCCATTTCTGGGAATACAAAAGGCATGCCAGACCATGTTTCAGCCAAATGACAGCATCTCATATAGTAATGGTGAATGATTCTACCAATTCATCTATTTAGTATAAGAATGTTTAGATAAGGTTCTAAATAGAAACTGGAAAGTAGATAGACTTAGTAGGACACTGCTTCCTAGCTGAAAAGTATTACAAACTTCCTTTGCTTGTAATACTTTGTATGTAATACACCAATATATTTCATGCATATTGGTCTAACAGCAAATGCAAGGTGTTGTAAAGGGCACAGAAATGTGAAAAACAAATAAAAAAATAGAAAAGGTACAAATGGGAAGATGGACAGATTTAAACCTAATATGAAAACTGGCATAGCCTTAAGCTGTTTTAATATATAAGGGATGTAAAACTGAAATCACGAGAGACTAAGAAGTCCAATGCAAATAGAGAAAATACCTGGAAAACTACAGACAAAATCCCCAAATCAATGGAGCCAACATGACCACGTGAGATAAATAACACAAATCATGTGTTAATCTAACTCTACCAGCTTTGATTACATAAATAAGTTTAATTGACTGCGGAGGAAATAACTACATAAATAAAATGAACACGAATTTGTACTACATAATCTCCTTTCATCACAGATATGATACAAGCTGAGCTCTCAGGAACAATCTTCCAGAGAAAAGTGATATCTGAGAACAATGGACACACATATTTAAAAAAAAGGGTTTATGTATATGCACATATAGATGTACATTATAACCAAGAAAGACCCAGACTATCATACTATAGTTAAACATCATAAAATCAGGAGATTACAGGGTACCTGATATGAGTGGAATAAAGAATTTTGACTAGTGGTTCATGAGCAGAACTGCTGTAAAGGAACGATTTGGGATTGGTGATGAGGACCACAGGCCATTCTTCAAAGGTAAGATCTGCAAAGCTCAGGAGGTCATGATCAAATGCAAGGATCCGGTACCTATAGTTAAAGGAAAAACTTTTGTTAATACAAACTACTGCATGCCCAGCTGATTCCCATGCTTCCCAAATTCCTGAACAGAACTTGTTTCATTTACATTCCATTCATTCTCTTCTGTAGCTCATCCTATCTTAACCAGCTCTGCTGTATTAACAGCTGGTTACCTCTAATCAGCTTCTCTTTATTATAAATCACTCAGGCATTGCTCAAAATTCCAAATGTCAAGATCTATTGAATTTTGCACATGAATCAGATAGATGAACATTATGTTATAGAATTCAAATAAAATGTACATTATTACAGTGTCTGGGTAGGTACCCTAGTTATGGACAAAGGCCTCTGTGTGCTCTCTTCCTAAAGGCATACAAGTATCTTTATTGGGATTACTGCAGAATAAAAGCTAATATACTACTATACATTCCATGTAGCATTGGACATTTTTTGATACACTTCTAAGGTAATATTTCTTAGGTAGACTATTTTTGCCTCTAAAATTCTAACAGCTGGTGCAGAGCATGGGTATTTTGAAGTAGCGATGCTGAATTTTATTACAATTTATGTCTATTTGAATACTAAACGCATCTTAAATGGACATTGAGATGTCCTCTTTTTAATCTGTAAATATCAAGAATTAATCTAAAAATTACTCAACTTAATTTATTAGCACACTGTAGGTATAGGGAAAAAAAATCCCAAACTTCTACAGAGAGGAATTTTTCAAACACATCAATAGTAATAACCAGTCAGGCACATCTAATGCTTCTTGCAAGTTCTCCAAGCAGCATAAAAGGGAACCACAGTATAACCAGTAGGATCCATATAATAATTTGCCTACTTAGGGTTTACTTACCTCCTATTATCCATCCAGTCTCCCAGTTCAAGTTCCAGAGTGCCACCACGGTGCTGACTGTGCAAGACTGGCATCAGCCCACCCAGTGTATGGAGATGTCCACATAAATAGGCCGTGGCAGAACTAATAAAAGAACATAATTGTGATTATTTGGATAGGAAGGAGATACCACTGCAGAAAACCTGAAAAGTGACAGATAAGTATGTGAAGAGAGGCAAGAAATGTACTTCAGACTGAAAACATACAGGAAAAAAAACACTTACCTCATCAGTGCTCGTATTCCTGGGGCTGGGGAGATGATTGTTGAGGTGGGAAAATGGCCAAACCAGAGTGTGTGATTGCTGTGCAGACTTTGTGTTGCCATCAAAGATAGTTCTTTCATTTGATTCTGAAACAGGCAGGTGTTTGAAAGACAACCAAAGCTGTTTAACATTCAGGCTACTTGGAAAGAACAGCAAAAGGAAAGCAGAAAGACACGAATGAAGAGAATACTCTCAGTTGCTTCAGGGACCTGGGCATGAACAAAATGTACTACTAGGCTTATCCCTAAAATCCAGTGCTGGAAAAAGAAAGTGAAAACAAGACACTCAACACCTTCCTTGCAAGTGAACACAGGAAAAGTACAATATAAAGAAGGATTTTGGCAAATGATATTTCTATCTGTTCTGCTGCTTATTTACATAGTCAGAGACAACACACTTGAGTTGACTTTACAAACGTCTTTACCTTGTAATTATCATCCATATTATCTCTTAAGTTGTTAGATGGCCTTTATAGGCACGACAGACCGCTAACTGTGCACCATATGCTTCAGTCATTTAACTGGATGAATTATGATGCTGAATCTTGAAAATATTACTCAGCCATTGCTGTTAAAGTTAAGCAAAACTAACACTTTACACAGCAAGTAAAATTCCTCTTCTTTACTTATCTGACTTCCAATATTAAATAAGCCACTCACTGTTCAGAGAGAATCCCAATACTAATAGGACCTCAAAGGCTAACAGAGTAGGCAGGAAAACTAAAACCAGAAAAGAACTCAAATCCACTTTTTCACCATTTTGCAGATCATCTTTTAGGGTAACCCAGAGAACCACCAACATATTCTTTTCCCTCCTGCCTGAAAAGGAATACTGAAGGGCATGAATAAAGGAAACAGAAACAAAGGTATATTCAAAAAAGAATGAATCCAGAATACCATTCTGGGTTAATGTAATGGGCTTATCAAGTGAAATGATACTTCATTTGCCTTTATGAATTTGGGCTTTAAGAATATTTTTACCTAAGCTATGCAATCCAGTCACTAATACAAATCTAACTTATTTTTCAAATTCCTGGCAGAGGTTTAATTCTTAAAAGTTACAGGTATCTACCTTCAGTTTTGTGCGAAAATCTGCAAAAGATGCTCTCTGGACCCCTGCTACTGGTAAATAGCAAGCAAATCCATGACTTACTGCAGCCAAAGAGCTCTAGACTCAATTGCATTTCTTAGCTTCTTGAGAGCTTGTCTGCAAATCTACTGCACCCACTATGGATTACAGTAAACAGTGCAAACACCACTCCACACTTCTACATCACCTTTTATCTAAGCATCACCAAGCACTTTACAAACACTTCATTAAATGTCCAGCCTTCTTTAGACAAGATTAGAGGGAGAGCTTTTTACTTTTCCCTGAGGTCTTTATCACAGGCAAAACATGACATCTATTTCCAGAACACAGTAACTCTCTGCCAACACTTCAGAAGAGTATCTCAAGAACAAAATCCTATCAGTAAACTACAGAGAAAAAAATAAAAGGGAAACAAAATGTTATCTAAGGTGATATGTGGTTTAAACATCGGGATTAATGTTACTATCTTAAAACAATACCATGTAATTTTTGTGTTCTCAGAAGATCAGACCTCACTTTCATAAATGACACATTTCTTTATAGCATTATCTTTCAAATGATTTCATTGAGAAGTGCAACTCCCTAATCTGTAATATTAACACCACCACAAAAAGCATCTAACAAAGCAAAAAGGAGATGAGAAATGAGAAAGTTTGATTTCGTTTTAAACTTTACAGCATATAAGGAAAGTATCACACAAGTCTAGCTAAATGCTAAGAAACTACTGGCAGTTAGTTAAAATGTCTAATTTGACTTTTTCATACTGAATTATTTAAGAGAGTAAACACAAATACTTTATATGTTAAGTGACAAACTCATTTTTCTAAATAAATGTCCCATATATAAAGACTCTTTTAGATGAGCACAAATCTTCCAGACAATTCTTCTTTACAAAAACAAACAAACAATCCCCCCAGACAAATCATTAGAGAAGTAAAACAGACAGCAAAATGGAATGCCAAGACTTATAAAATACCGTGTTTAAAATCCCAAAGAAATTATAGGGTCTCTTAGGGCCTGGGCTGAGCGTGGCATCCACACAGATGAATGAATAGTTCCCAAAAGGGGTGGTGTGGATGTAATGGAAAGAGCCATCTTTATGCCAGGCAGAGTATTTCCTGCCAAAATAACATAGAAATATTGCTGTTAGAAAAGCTTGTAATATTGACAAAAATGACCCGTGTAGTATAAATGCAAGATCTCTTGCATTAGATCTAGTTCCATCTTGTTACTGTAGCAAAGGCTCTTCTTAAACATCAATGGCATTGAGATTCTGTACTTCAAACAAGATGCACCCCATAGGTCATATATTAAGACAAGCAGCAGGTTAACACACAAACATTTTAAAAAGTGTTTGCATAAATACACTTTCCCTGAGCAACATGGTATGTTTTTATGGATAAAGGACAGGTCAGCAGCATAAATGATACATAACAAATAGGCAATGTGAAGGGACAGCAGGATCCTACACAACTCTTAACTAAAGGAGACCTGCAAAGGAAAACAAGTTATTGTCTTGTCTTTAGTGTTGGTATCTGAAATAATTTTTTAAAAAGAATTTTTCCTCACTTACCTAGAAATACCAAGGACATCAAGTCTTGTCTGTGCTATTTATTAGGGGTCTCTTAAGTTACTCTGATGTAGAATGATCAGCTGTTGGCTAATGAAATATGATCTTGAACCAAGGAAATATTGAACCTTTTCAGTTATTTTCCAGAAGATCCAAAACACAAACACTACATCACACCAAATCTTATACATAGCAAAAGAGGCAGCATTTCCTTTTGCTTATTGCTCTTTTTTATTTCTTGCTCTTATAGCAAATCTTACCAGTTGTCCTGACACTTGTGGAATGTTATCAGAATTATTCAGTCAAAGACTAAAAGAGAGCAAAAAGTGTTGCTGCTCTTTTTCATGTTACCTGACGATAACTACGCTCTTGAATCTTAATCTTAAAACACTCTTAGAGAGACCTGTAGACAGGGAAGGACCCATAAGACATGCCAACTAATTACACCTTTCCCTCTCCCCATGGTTTTGTGCTAATATTGGCTATATGATAAATACATGCAATAATGAATATATATGTTATTTTCTCTTTTTCCACTGACAACAGGTATTTTCAGGGTTTTTTAACTTCTAAAACTGAAGTGATTTTGATACTTTATGCTAGATGGGAATTGCACATATCCTCCATTGGCAAAGACAGGTAACATTACAACTAATGGTACCTACTAAATTGCTCAATTGAGAATTAAATTATGTAACTAAAATAATTGTAAGTAAATCTGAGATTAACTAAAACTTGTTAGTTTGGGGGTAGGGGTATTTTCTTTTGGATTTGGGGCTTTTGGGCTGGTGTGGTTGGTTTGCATGATATGTGGACGCTAAAACATCCCTGAGTTCAGATGGTGATTATAGTTTGAACACAGCCATCTAGAAAGCATTTCATGTCACTGCTCCTCCACCAGTCAGAATAAACAGTGAAATTGCCAGAAAGGTTGACCCGAAGCCAATATATTAAAAACAAGTTTCAGATATAAATCAATACTTCCAATGCCATAAAGACCCTTTCACAGTGTTTATTTTTTTGAAGTTAATGTTACTATTGTGAACATCATGAACTTCAATAAGAAAACTGGAAGTTCAGGGTCATAACCTAAAATTTCTGTCTTTAGTCCCACTTAGAGTATATGTAACAGCTGAATCACCCTCTGCTCATGCTGTGGTCATAAAACAGGAACCTATGTCTTTGTGTAAAAATATCATTCTACTTCAATAAAACTGCTGCCTGCTTTAATTTTAATACATAATGAACACCAGAATGTGGTGTTGAATAACGGTTTTCCCTAGCCTCTATTTTTACATCTGCAATCTGCAACACTCTAAGGTGTACAGCAAAGAATGAATTATTTGTTCAGGAGTCACATGAAGGCAAGCAGGTAGTGCCTTACTGTCGCTCACACAAAAAAATCTCAACCAAACAAAAGAACCCCAAAACTTGCCCTTTTGACTGTTTAACTTCATAGGAGTGGAGGAAGAAAAGGCCTCCACAAGACTCCCTTTCACTCCACCATCTCCTTTCTCTCTTCCTAGAGTGTGGTATATTTATCAAAACTTTTCTTATTCTTTATATTTTATTAATGCATTATATTAGGAAATTCTCCCTGTAAAGATAATTCTGCCTTTAGTGTCTTTCTTCAGTCTTAGAAAGCATGATAAATCTCATTAGTTTCTTTCTTTTGCTATGATGACAGTCTATAATGAAGCAAAACCACCATGAGAACACATTTGTTTAGCAAGAGACTTAATTATTAAGCAAAGACTTTCACCTGACTCAGCATTTCACTCAGAAATTCTTAGGTTGGCTAAACTGGTTTGAAACTTCACCCTTATCCTTTGAATCCATACTGCTATTGTTACCATAAAAGTTGGTTGGAGAAACTCTCTAAGACTCAAGGCGGAGTTTCAGAAAGCAGCATTCTTTACTGCAGCACTGGGTGCACACACAAATAGCTTCACAAAGGTGAGCACACCGCTTACTTGCCAGCAGCAGCTGTATATTTAGCATACTCATGCATATTCATAGCATTCCTAGGAACTAATCATAATATTTACATCCTAATTAAGCATGTGCTTTCTTGCTAAGTGGGGGTCTCTGGTGGTCACTGATAGTCTGCCTCACTGTGTTTACTGAATGACCTCAGTGCTTGCGCACACTCACAAGGTCCTAGTGCTGAGTTAGCAGTTGGTGTGTCCTTGCTTCTGTTCTGTTCCAGTCTCACTCCACATTGGGCGCCGCTCTGCTATCTTGAAGGCTGGCATCCTTGGTCTTATTTACTGTCTCCTTACTTGTTATCAGTCCTGTGATGTTCCTTCCCCCACGAGCTGAACATTCCTTTCTCTCTACATGTTAGTAAGTTAGAAAAGTTTGGTCTATTCTACTATGTTAAAGGCACACACACTACTGTTAGTTTAAAATTTAAGCGTACACTATCAGTGCATCTTCAGTGTGGACTAGAGGCAGGTGATCCATGCATCTTTCCAAACAGTAAGCTTGTCCAGGCCAAGCAACAACCCAGGGATGATCTGGCAAAATCACTGATGCTGCATCTTCCCATGTGTGTCACTAGGACTTCTGATAGCAGCCTTAAACTAGAGTGGAAGACTGATAATAGATTGTCATGTAGTCACAACTGTGGCAAAAGATACAGGGATGTGCACTGCACTAGTGCATCCAAAAGCCTTGTTAGCACCCTACATTCATGCCTTTATGGTAAATGCACATGTGAATTCCATGTTCTCTTGAAAATGCAGCTGCTGTAGGATCCTATCCCGCAGAATTTATAGGAAAACATATCTGCTCAAACATCAGACGTTTAATCTGTCTTCTTACTGCAAAGTGGATGGCTTAAGAGCCTGTATTAAAGTCGAGTTTAGATTTCCAAGTCCTCCTCCAGTTCCAAAGAGTCAAAGCCAAAAACACCACCAAAATCACAAAACAAGATTTTGTGTTCAGATGCGAAGGGCACAAAGTTAAACACAAGTTACAACTGAGGTTACCTTTACAATGTGCAAGCAAAATAGCCAGCTGAAGAAAGGGAAGTTTCCTCACCTATCTTCCCATTAAAATCTCAAATGTGTTCCTCAAGAACATTTGTCTAGCCATCATCATCATCTGCCTTCTTTGTCCTCTACTTTCAGTTTTCTAAAATGGCTTGGAAAAAACTTAGACCCATATGACATGAAAAGCCCTCCTGGGCATGCAGAAAGAATATTTAAAAAGCCAAGTATTCTCTTGCTTTCTTTTTCTTTTATTCATACATTTTGAGGAGGAAAAGCATTCTCTGGGAACACTGTTTTTTCAGAAATATACAACAGCCCTGAGGAAACTGAACACAACACACAGAACATTTCCTGGGCGCAATCAGATTTACAATACATTCAATTACAAAAGAGAGGGATTAGAGATAAGAAGTCTGTGCAAAGAATGCTCTATTTTCTCAGCCTACTCTAGTCTATAACTGGCAATTAAAACAATGAGGGGAATAGCAAATATGATCCTGGAGTATAGGAAAGTCAGTGAAAAAATCATATATGTGAAATTGAAAAGAATATTGTTTAGTGAATTTGATCTTGAATATAATGGTAAATAAAAGTACCTGTAATAATTCCGAATGCTATTCAGGTATGGAATATTGAATGAATCTGTAAGGCAGAGAAAAAAGGAAGATCAAATTGATCATTGACCTCTGTATTTTATTTCCTAATGTTGAAATAAAGCTGTCTCAGCAGGCACAGGATATACTTTATGCAGCAGACCTAAAAGCAAGAACAGTTTTCTCATTTAAGTTTCAATTCAAAGATAAAGTTGTTTTGGGAATGTAAATTGTCATTTAGTGGCTAAAAGGTAACCATGTGTTTCTACATTGGCCATAAAGCTTTTTGGACTGTGTGAATTCTCTGAAAGTAAGACCTAACTCATGCAAGGAAAATAAAGTAGCAACAGCATCAAAGTGTGTGTAAACCAGACAGAAACTTAGGGAGGTTTCTCCTGCAGCTGGAGTCCATCATTAAAGCTGGTAACAGTAAGGTTGGAAACAGTAAGGTTGGAAACAGTAAGGTTGGAAACAGTAAGGTTGGAAACAGTAAGGTTGGAAACAGTAAGGCTGGTAACAGTAAGGTTGGAAACAGTAAGGCTGGTAACAGTAAGGCTGGAAACAGTAAGGCTGGTAACAAAGGCCTGATAGGGAAATGGGAGTAAAATGTCCTATGTGGGCTGTATATAACAACACATGCACTTTTTCTTCCTCCCCCCAAATGCTAGGCTTTCTAGTTTTGCCCTTCTTGTAACAACTGGGTTATATAGCCTAAAAGGTTGTTAGCTTGTGTTTGACTGCTTAGAACGTAGCAACTAGGATGTGTACAAACTTCTATGAGTTCTTTCTGTTCCAAAGAAACCAATTTTCCTTTAATGCTAATGTGTGATACTTTTAAGCTTACACCTGTGGGAGCAGGTCTATGAAAAGTAAATTCAAACCATTTCTTCGGTAGGGTAAGGTTACAGTTTGCCCTTCAATTAAAAAAGGGAGCATATAAGCTAATGACCTGGAAACTTAACATCTGAAGCTCTGTTCTACCATTTGAAAGGCAAAAGCAACATATGAAGACTCCTCCTTCCCTAGTACTAAAATTCCAGAAAGTACCTCTAAACAAAGTGTGCCCTGAATGAAGCAAACATGTAGACAGCAAGCCCTTCTATTGATTCATAGTCACCACTAATGCGCTACTAAGTACTATATTCTTTAGATTCTTTTTATTTTACCTCTATATTCTAACTTATCTAAATCAGGTCTGTAATCACAGGAAAGAAAGAGATGTCTCATTTTCTTCTTACCATGATTCCCTTTAATGTCTATCCACTTGGTTTTTTCCATGACCCTTGATCTCTTCAGGATTGCCTGGTAGGTTTTCCATTCTGCTTCTACCTGCTCAGATCCCAGTTTATCTCTTGTCTTTGCATCTGTCAGGTCACCTGAAAGTGTACAAAGGCAAGGCTTACACAAATACTGTAACTAGGCAAGCATGCAATCCATGTGTCCTAGAGTTAGTGCAACAAACACTCCTGTCATCTGGTATGGTAGGTTACCACAAGGGTAAATACCTTCTAATGTAGATGTGGCAGCCTGTTGAAATATCTATCAGCCACATCACTGCAGCACTTTCACTAATGCCATGCCAAAGTAAATTATGACATATTCATTATACCTGGAGATTGTAGTCATAGAAGCTTTGTTTAACTTTGCACCTTCCGTATGCCTTCAACCTCCAATTAGAGTTCAAACCATTCCCAGCTCTGTTTAGACAGTAATGCCTTCCTGCATTACTAGTTAAAAGATGAATGCTAACTATTCCTGAATTCTTAACTTAAAAAGCAAGCAGCAGATAGGTAACTGCCTGGAGAGACAAAAGTCCAAGTCTAGCATTAAAATTCTAAAGCCTCGCATATAATAATGGCTCAAAGTCTTTTAGTTTGCTTGCCAAAACTTAATCCATTTCAATTGCAATCTATCAAATGGAATGGCAAAGCTTATTTCACCTGTCTTGGTATGATAAGTTCAAACAGAAACCAGCAACAAAATCTTACATTAATTCATAGGTGAATTTCATACAAATGAGCATGGATTGTTCTGAGAGAGGAACTGGCTCTTAACGACTCATCAGACATTGATCTCTTCTGTAATTTCAAATACAAAGACTGATGTAGAGTCACTACCAGGACAAGAGGGAAGGGAGCTACTAGCAAGGAGTAAGGTGTAGCAACAAGTATTGGAAAAACAATAGCTATTTTGCATAATTATGTCTGTTACATATAACACACACTAAACTCACTGTTAGACTCATTGAACAAAAACTAATTCTCTTGAGTTGCAAAGTTATTGTCTTCTGCTTCTAGCAGTCTATCTGCAGCTGAAACTACATTGCCATTGCTCAAGATACCTTAAAGCTTTAAAGTTCTCTCTTGAGATCGTAGAATTTTGCTTTTTTGCTCTTCCTTTAACAGCACATTCAGCATGAAATCCACATGTTGAATTGCTTACCTGTTGCTAGAACAAGTGTTGGCTGAATTATATCAATTGTTTCAGAACAGAATTTTTCAAAGTCAGGAGCTCGTCTGGGATCCCGAAATCTACTGATATGAATATCTGACACCTGCAAAAGAGAAAAATTAAAGACTGCCCCAAGCAGAGGGTTATTGCTGCCCAGTTTGTTCTGCAAACAAATAAATGCAACGTAAGAGCAGTCATAGTGATTCATATTAGTATATGGGATACAGGGAGAAACAGAAGTGGATGATCAGTGAAGAAAAAAAGCAGAGCAAACATGTAATATTGCATCTCTAACCCCTAAAATCGTATTTACATTGAGAAAATCTCTTTCAGTCTAAGGGCCTACAATAAGATGAGGAAATACTTCGCTATCTACAGCAAGTTTTGGTGGCTCTAAGGGGCCTGTTGACTTTCAAATTCTGTGAACTTCTGGTACAATACAGTGATCTTGCTGCAAGAGAGAATACTAAGTAGTTCAGCAAAGCAAGACTATGTTAAAGTCACCTAGGACTTGAAGCATATTGATAACTAATTTTGCATCTGGTGTGACATTTCCAGTAGCTGGGAGGAAGGACTTATAACATTCTACCCCTGCATTTTAATGAAGCTAATGAGCATGTTTAGAGCCTATTTCACGTGCTTTCACGAACAAAGATTTTCCAAGAGATGATGATACCACTTGCACATAACTGCAAAAGGTGCTGTTCATTTCTGAACAGTCAAAGCCCTCACAACAGAAGATATCTACAGGGTGGGATGGGGAGAATAAGAAAGGTAAGATTTTTTCTGTTGTTGTTGTTAATACTGTGGCTTTTCAGGTATGTTTGAAGTAAATCATGGGTGAATGCTTTCAATTCCACTTGCCATTCCATTTCAATGAATTAACAACTTATCCTCCTCAGTTCAGACAAATTTGACACTCAGAAACCAGTGAGCACACACTCATGGCCATCTGATGAGATCACTGCCTGAGAAAGAAAAACATCAACTTTTACATTGAATTTAATAAACCTGGATCTTTTTCCACTTTGAGAAATCTACATAAAATACCTTGGAGACAAAATGCCTTAGCTTCTACTTATTCAGTCATTTGAATATGTAGGAAGCATTGCCTGAAAACAGTTTTTTAACTCTGCTTAGGAAAATTCCCCATTTGCTTATATGTAACTTTTGCCTATATCAGAATTGGATGCTAAGAAAGGTAAACACTTTCAGACATAACTTCATTTTTATTAATACATTCAAGGTAGCATGAATCAAAAAGCACAGTAAAACTTCCTCAATACATTAAACCTAATTTAACCATTAGCAAGAATACAATGTCTTATTTTGCTTCTCCTCAGCCTGTGGATTTACAATTCATCTATCTATCTCAGCAATCAAACAGAGAAAATAAAATTGTCTATTTTTGCTGTTTCCAGATTCTTGAGCAAAAGTCTTACAAGACTTTCTACCAATAACTATGGAGAATATAAACTCCCAACTTTTTAGCAGTCAGTGTTTGGGAAGCCTGATTTTCTACAAAGATCTTCCCTCTTTTTCCCCCTACTATGATACAAACTTCAGATCTACAAAAGGCCCTATCCAGTCACCTAGGTTAAGACCTATAAGGTCACCAGGGAGCTTGAAGCCCATTTCCCACAACATCATCAGGCACAACGCTGGATTTAGTGCTTGATTAATTTCCAAGTTGGGTCTATGATAAAGCATCTGTTAAGGGCAGATCTGAAAGAGAACATAACCGCTTGAAAGTAAAGCCAAGTCTCAAATTAGCTGCACTGTGACCTATCCTTGGGAGAACTCCACTTGAAGTACCACCACCAGAGAGAACATGGGAGAAGCAGCATGGAGCTGTGCATGCTGCTTGTCAGCATAGCTTTGCAGCTGCTGTAGACAACTCTCTTCAAGATAGCAACTGAAGATAGAGGCTTTATCTACATTAATTCAAGCATATCTCTCATCTTGAAATCTATTCTGCAGTAAAGATAAGCCCTAAGACACTTGAAAAATTACTGAAAAAAACCTGACACTGAAAATACATAGCAATTGGAGAGAACAAAAGGACTAATAAAACCACTTGGTTTATGCACCAAAAGCACTGCCTGCAGTGAGTACATTTAAGCAAAGTATCACTGGGTTTGAGAATAAAGGCAAAATAGTAAAAGCGGCCTATTTGTTAGAAGGAGCTGCATGCAACCCCTGTGACAGCTCAGGCGTCGATTACCTGCAAATACGTACACAGCTTGTGGTCAGTTATACACGAAGTGCTTCAGGAATGCTCTGGGGGGAAGAGTCAGAAGAGAGGCCACAGGCACACCCAAACATGACAGTTTACTTCTAAGACTGTGCCAAGCTAATTTGTATTTACGTTCAACCTGGAAAGAAAGCTGTGCACGTTTAACCTAACACACATCACTCTTATGCTGGCCCAATACCTTCCACTGCTGAACATCTGTGTAGCTATTTTTTCAGGCACACAACTTTCCTGAGTTTTGGAAGAGGACAGGGACAGGCATTATCTACTATTGCAGTAGACAATACCGGATCGGGTACCGAGGCAGTACATAGGATAGTGCAATAATTAGGTGAGCTTTAATTACTCGCTTCTACCACGCGCGTCTTATCTTTTGGGTATTCTGACCGAACACCTGTAACT